TTTGCGACATTTGTAGTTTGACAAATGTCTAAGGTATACAGAATATGAAAAAATTAAAGTTTTAAATGTGTTAAATGTACATATTTATTTGAAGAAACACAAAAGTCACATTAAAAACTATAATTAGGTTGTCTTTCTCACGAATGATATCTAAAAAAGTAAACATATTCCTGAAAAAAATGTAATGCTGGTTTACTAAAGTATAATGTCGTAGCAGCCGTATGCGATTATGAAATGTGATGATTATTGGAAACGATGGCACGTTGAATACAACCAAAACAAATGTGGAATCATAGTCTCTAATGAACGTAATACATTAAAATCATTGCGTCAGTGGAAAATTGGTGCTCAGACAATTGAAAAAGTAGAAGACTATATGCATCTTGGTGTCAGTTGTAACGACTTCATGTCAACAAAGAAGTCAATTCAGGATGGGTGTATAAAACTACGGGGTACATTTCGGGAGTGGTCTGTGGCAAACATGCATACAGAACGACATTAATAAACTAGAGATTGCTCGCCGTTTTTGTATTAAAATCATACAGTCGCTTAAATCAGGTACAAGTACAGATTACTACCTAGCATAGCTGGATATAGACTCTATTGAAACCATGATCGACTTTTGGAAACTTGTTTTTCTTGGACAATTGTGAAGACATCCGTGCCAATATTTAACCAAAAGGGTATTCACAAATTGACTAACATGTTATCTTTATGACGACTATCAAGTGCTTGGTTTTATCCCTGACATTTACAGACTTTTTAAAATTCGAACTAGAGGAATATGTAAGAAGCATCATGTTTCTGAGTAAATACCAATGGAAGAATATACTTAATAAACATGTTATTATGACAGTAAAGAAGAAACGGTACGGACGCTTAGTGCAACACAGATCATTAGGTTAATGATACATACCAATGTAAGCTTTGGACAATATTGCAGAGTTACGTCCCTGTTGCGATTTGATAGTGTATATCCCCTGTTGCGATTTGATAGTGTATGTCGTTGGAAGACTTATATCGCGTCCGTACATAGAACAATATTTTTATTTTTATTTTTGTACTATCATTGTAGATCCTGCACAAAGAAGTCCTATTTACAACTGCATGTATGGGATTTGCTCATAGCTGACATAGGGATAATCTTTTATTTAGACGAGATAAATAAAATAAGATATGCTCCTCAACATCACATTTGACGGGGTCAGGAAAGCTAAGATTTTCTTTCCAGACTCTATCATTTGTTTAAAACAAGCTGCTGGCTTAATGCTAATGAAGGCCAAAACGATAATTCATAGTATGTACATGCTGTATACAAGTTTGTTTAGAATTTTTAGTTGATATTTCAAAACAATCATTTAGTAATTTTCCTCATATATGTTTTTTATGTAATAGTTGTTATTTGTTCAGTAAGGAAAAAACAACTAATAAACAACAGATAAAAACAACAGATAGATAGACATGACATGGTATGTGTATGTTGGGGTGTTCTTTTACTCAACATACTGCTTTTGTGAATACTGTTGTCCTAAATTTTCTATCACTACCTTGTCATAAGAAACAAAACTTTAAATGATCCAATTTTATAATAATATACTCTTGGTCAAATTAACAACAAAATGTTCTATTTCATGCATGTAAAACAAACTTGCTACTATCAAAATATCATATCAAATGCATCCAAAGGCATAAGTCATTGACGTATTGTTCTTTTTTTTTATTTCGACATGACTGTTTGGTATCTAAAGTAATATTAGTGGCAATGACTTATAAAAGAAGTGGTTTTGTGCCGTTGGTAATATCCATTGATCAGTTCTTGTCTTTTTCGTTTTCGGACAATACTGGCTTTCTTTATGGACAAACTATAAATAAAAACAGCACATATGCTTGCAATATTGCAATATTCACTGTATTATTACTATACATTAAAATGTTAAATGTTCTTAACCTAAATAATTAGTGTTAAGAAATTATTATTTTCCATCCATTCATCCATCCATTCATCCATCAATTAATCTATCTAGTGAAATCTTGAAACAAAGTAATCCCTCGGAAGCATTAATCAAAAAAAAATTACATGAGAATAGTAGACTCGGTTTGATTGAGTCTGTACGTGAGGAAAAATGAAAAAGTGCAACAAACTTAAGTTACATCTTTTTATTTAATTTATTAACACACAATTTGGAATTGGTATACATGTATATATAAACATGTTAAATCTTTTCCTCTTAAGAGGTACGAAGAAGTAAGATTTCTCTTTCATATACATAAGTTAACCGAAGTTTGTTCCATAGCATTTGATTTGAATTCATATACAGCGTATTAAATTATTTTAGGTATTAAATGTACCTTCTGATAGTAAGCCAATATCGTTTTATTTTCATTTTTGAGACACAGGAAACGGCTATAATGCCTGACAATTTAAAGAACTCATCGAACTATCAGCGCCTTATTTCCATGGTGATTGATCTTGGAACTGAATAGATGCTCCTTTTGTTTTTTCATCTAAAACCTGAAGAACAAGTTACTGCCTTTCTTTCTAAACCGGATGTAAGAAGAAAACTTGACTACATGAAGAGACGAAACATATTAACACCTCGTCAGTATAGAATTGTGACATTACCTTATCCAAATCCCCGTGAATTTGACTTGTCGTTGCTGCTAACGCTGCTAAGTAACATCTTTGAAGACGAAATTATGGCACCCATTCATGGTTGGGGCACGTTCCCTTCAGCCGCTTCGAACGACTTCTCGATCGGCGCAGATTTGCTAAGGCTGAAAAGAATCAGAAACGAAATAATTGGACACCATGTAAAAGCACAACTGTCAAACACGGAATTCACTGATCTTTGGCAACAGACAGAAAGTTTGCTTCTAAGAATTGTTGAGATTGTTGATTTTAAAGGCAAAGCTTCATATAAAGCAAAATTATCTACGTATGCATCCCCATCACCGTATTCAACTGTAGATGCCCAAAAAGCTTTAGAAACAGTAAAAATATGGTGTGACGAAATAAACATACTACAAAAACAGGCAAGTATTGTTTGTGAAATCTTATGAATTTGATCACTTCCCAACCCATTTATTCATCTGTCCAAAGATACACTTCCGCAAATATAAATTCTCATTGGTTCAAATACTTTAAAATGTGTTATTTAATGTTTTAAATTAACAAGTTCTTACACAATTTATAACACCTTGTCAAATTCCCGCCATACTACACGTTAGCTCTGTGACTAAAGCCTGCAGAAACAATATGTTACATAAAATTTTAATTGACATGGATCTTATTCGTGACCTTTATCATTTTTCTCTTTTTACTAGAAAAAATTTAAACGACCCATAAGAATATCGAATTTTGTAAAAAGAGTAAGAAGAAATGACTAGGTCATGATCATGCTTGATCAACACACCAAAATAACCAGTGGAATTAAAGATAACATTTTCCGTTATGCCATCTTTGAAAGTGTTGCTGACATTGCAATTGTAATCATCTGGTTTATCTTTTTTTCCAGTCGAATTTGATAAAAATTGCGTTGTTCATTTTTAATAATGTTTTAAACATTGAGTCAATAATAGACAACTGCTTTTTCATATGCTGTAGGTAGAGGAAATGGGGGAAAAGGCTAAAGGTATATTTCAATATTATATCAATATTAAATACAACCATACAACACCGTACATATTTTATGTACTCAATGGCTTTCTATTTCATTTAATGCCCTCTCATAAAAATTACGTTCTTAACAATAGTTATTGTTTTTTTTTTATAAATGATTGAATTAATTTTAACCGAGTGGTTATGCTCATAGACTTCATTCAAATTGCATCTCTTCCACCCCGACCAGTAAAGATGGAAAGTTGACACATGACATTTGCAGTGTTGGTGAAACTTAAAACCCGTAAAAAACAACAACAAAAATATTTGTTTTTGCTTGAGAGCGACTCAAAATCTACTTAACGATAAATTGGATTTGTGTAATACTTACATTTACCCCAATTAACCGTTATATTCCTGTATAAAGGCCAATATTTCTTTGTTACTTTCAAATATCTTAATCAAGACAAGATATAATGTTGATAGAATATTGGATCATTTTATTCTTCATTATTTAGAATTATACGACAAACTTCAGTATGTTCAACAAGACCATAGAAAATATTTCAGTCTGCTAGTAGAAGGTGGAAGAATTGTACTTGTCGGTATATGGCAACGAGAAACGAAAACATACAAGGACGAAGAAATATGGAATATGCTCAGACAACCAAGAATTTTTCTTGAGAAAGAATTACATAGAAATTTAGAAGATCTACTGTCTCACGGGGTAAAAAATGGGAGTATTCAAGTGAATAATTTGGATATCTTACATTTAGGAACTCTAATAATACATTTGTTCCCAAGCAAACTGGACGAGAGTGAAGTTAGTGCTGTAGAAAAACTTATTCGCTGGAGAAGGCACTACACAGAGGTCGCATTTACCTCGAAAGAAACTTTTTTCGGGCAATGGAATGCTTTGCTTATGAACCTAACTTCGCTAGCAGCTAAACAAACGATGGCAATTCAATCACGTCTAATAGAGGAAGTTGATCATATAAGCAAGAATGAAGATCTTGAAGAAACAGGCGAATGTTTAAAAGAAATAGTGGAAAACTTAAAGGGATTGAAAACATTATCAGATGAATACAAAGGTAAAATATTTATTGAAATAGTTGCCAATCAAAATCTAATAGATAGAAGGATAAGTTTGTACGAATCCTAACATTTTCTTGTACATCATGCTTAAAATATAATAATTATAAATAAAAGATATACGCAATGATTCCCCCGTATGTAAATGGTCTTTTTAGAATTTTTCTGAAATACAGGTATAATAAACAATCTTAAATTCTTAAATAGAAATGCTTGTTTTTAGTTACTTCTTCAGTATGATTCTATTTATGCTTGAAAATAGCACGCCTCCAGATTTCTCTTAACTATTATAAAATCCCATATTTTTTGTAGAAAATGTAGATAAACTGAGATAAACTGAAAGAGTCCTTGAAGCAAATGAGAGAAGAGGGAATACCATTTGGAGAGGAGAAAAGTAAGGCAAATTAATTATACAATACTTCATATTCGTATTTTAATCTGTATTTATAGAAATTTTTTTTTTTAAAGACGTCATTCGTGACTACTATTTGTTTTAATCAACCAAATGGTAGAAAACACTACGATACATTCAACAGGAAATGTGACTAGAGCAAATAATCTAATAACATTGATTACAGTTATTTCGTACTCGTCATTATGTTACAAGAATGATTATTATAATAAGCAATAAATATGTTATTTATGTATGTTATGTTATGTATGTTATATATAGGTATATTTATAAAAGTGAATGAGTTCCAATAAAATGTCCACCAGGATAACCAATGTGTTAATACAAAATATGTGTACATTTTCACTCCAAATAAGTTCAGAATGTCTCTAACGATCCGCTACAATTTATTTACTGTTTCAGCAATCGTTTTTAAGATGCACATCAATGGTTCATCGAAAGAAATGTCAGAAAAAGCAGAAGAAATTGTCAATTCTATCATATCAAAGGCCCAGGAATTGACAAATTATTCAAGCATATATGAAGAAATCACTAAAGCTGTTGGCAAAATTTTGGACCATATTCGTAACATTCATTGGGCAACACTTTTGTCGAGTGAAAGAAGCTGCATTTTACTAACTTTTACATGTACCTCATATTGCGTCATTTTAAGTCTACTAGACTGTTTTGAACGCAACACTTTAAAGGAACAGATGTTTGATTTGGCTCAGAGTCTGAGTTTTTACTTGAGTGATGAGTTTAATATACTTGCAACTGTTTCGCCAACAAGCATCGTAGTACTACAAGAAATGTCAGGTAAAGCTTGACATTGCATACATTCTTACATTTAGTAGCATTCACTCTTTTAACCACAAATTCATTACCGTTGTTATTGCACAAAAACATCCCCAGACGTTAGTGAACGATTCGATGTCTTTCTTGATTTGTAAAAGAATAATTATAAAAGCTTTGTTTTTCCGCAATTTAAATGGCAGGTCATATATGTATAGAGTAAAGAATTTTGCAATATATTTAATTTGCTAGAGATAAAAATGAGTATAGCAATCAATATAAATAAACTTCGACTTAAAAACTGCCTTAATAAAGGATTATCATCCAGAAGCATTTATTATTTTGAATGTTTTCTAGAAGTTAAAACACAGGGATGTTACGTTCCTATCAAAGTATCATGTGCCACAGTGTCCAGTTTAGATGAGGTCTACAGATGTTTCGATGCAACTGCGGTCAATAGCACAGCTGATGTTAAAAACCTAGCCAATGTCCTTTCGAGAGAGTTAAATGACACATACCACATTCAAATAAGCGCTGATATAGGAACTAAGCAACACTTACTTTTAGGTAAGATTTGTGCTTTTTATTTGTACCCGTGAGAGACCCTGTTTTATATTAAAACATGTGTATATAAATATGCATTTACCATGTTTTGTAGTGTGTAAAATTCTTATTAATGCTTACAATGAGCCTTTTACCTGTATATTACATGGTATAATATAAAAAACATGTAGTGCTATCTAAGGTTTATTTTAAAATCATTAAATATTATTTTTGCAGAGGAGAAAGACGGGTCAAATTCATGTAAACCCAAAAATAGTGAAAATGCAATGGAAATGGCAGATGAAATGCCAATTTTGTACAAGCACATTCAAACTGACAAGGCAACAGACGGAGCCACGGGATGTAGCGCTGATGATGAGGTATGAAAATAAGGACCTATGAAGAGAGTTATATTATACTTAAAATTAGTATATGCAAAAAACATGTAAAATGTTTTAATGGAAAACGGCCACAATTCAAGTCATGTGTTGTCTTTATAAATATATTAAAATTTACATCTTGCAACGTTTCATTGTTATTATGAGAAAGGCTTTGAATAGAACCCAATATTACAAAAACAGGGAAGTATTGAAAATTGTTTGGCTCCTTATTTCGTTACACAACCACAGGAATGCTTCCACATTTATCTTTATTTAAACAAGTATTTATTATTTTTACTGCATTGGTACATTCAAAGTATATGCAGAATACAAGTTACATTTTTAAAGGCGTAGATATATAGAAGAATGAATACTACATAACATAATTGATTTAAACTTTGCGTAATTTATAATATATATACAGAACTAAATGTGGGGTGCATGAGCTCAATTCGAGTTATCAGCTCGTGAATTTGAAAATCTAGCTATTTTTCAAAGGCAAATAATTGGCTTATTTTCTACATTTCATGTAGCTGACGGCCTACGAGTTATTATGCATTTATAAATTCAAAAACTTGGAAATGAGTTTTATTTCTTTACTTAAAGATGTACCAAATTTTGTAAGATTATTCAGTCTCTGTACTTAAACTAAAAATCAGAAAAAATGGTTAAATGGAATTCTATGTAATTTTGTGTATGTAATCTGCCCTTGAAATAATAAATCATAAAATAAAATAAAGTAGACGTGGTCGTTGTGAGACATTTTTTGTACCCCTACTATTGGGGGCATTTAGATGTGCCCTTGTCCGTCCGTCCGTTTGTGCGTGCGTTCTCATGTTGTGTCTCATGTAGCTCTAAAATTGCTAGGGCTAGAGTCAACAACACAGGAATGTTGATCAGCATAAGAAGTTGTGCAGCTGGCATTTCGCTTTTAGATTTATTCAGTATTTGTAGTGTTATTGCTCTTGACTTAGTAGTAATATGCAATTTTCAAATTGTGTCGTGCATAGCCCATATAGTATTTGTCCGAAAGTCATGAAATTTTACAGAAATGTTGATCAGCTTGTTGTGCACCCGGGGTTTTACGTGTTGATTTTTTCATTAATTGTAGAGTTATATTCCTAGTCTTAGTTAAAATTTACAATTTTTCAAATTGTGTCATACGTAGCCCAAACATTATTTGACCTAGAGTCATGAAACTTTACAGAAATGTAGTCAGCACGTGTAGTTGTGGATCACCTTGGGGTTGACTCATGCATTTATTCAGTATTGGTAGAGTTATTGCCCTCGTCGTAGTTACAATTTACATTTTTTCAACTTGTGTCGTATGTAGCCCAAACATTATTTGACTACAGTCATAAAACTTTACAGAAATGTTGTTAAGCATGTGAAGTTGTGCACCTGGTGTTTGGCATGTGGATTAATTTTAATTTTGTCAGAGTTATTGCCCTTGACTTAGTGAAAATTTCCAAATTCTAACTTGAGTCGCCCGTATCGAGTTGGGCACCTATGGTTTGCTTGTATTTTTAATCAGAATGTGTTGAGTAATTTCCCGTGACTTAGTAAATACTGTCCCACAATGTTGTGTCATGTGTAACATGACTGAGCTAGAATCATCAAACTTTACATGAATGTTAACCATTATGTGAAGTTGTGCAACTTGGTTTTGCGTGTGGATTAATTCATTATTATTTGCACTTGACTTAGTATAAATTATAAATTTTAACTTGTATTTGACCTTGTGTCATGAAACATTACAGGACTGTCGGTCAGCATGTGTAGTCATTCACTTTTGGGTTTGTTTGTTGATTTATTCAGAATTTATAGAGATATTGTTCTTGCCGTAGTAAAAATTTGCCATTTTCCACTTGTGTCTTGCATTAAACAAAAAGTATTTGACCTACTCATGAAACGTTACAGGACTGTTGGTCAGCATGTTAAGTATCGCTGCTGCGATTGGGGAAAATCAAGATATCAACACTGGAAAATTAGATTGTTTAAAGAGTATGTAGAGTCATATATAATCTAATCTTTTATCTGTCCTTCTGTCATACTGTCCTGCTGAATGCCAAAGGGGCACCTTTTTCCCATGGACACATTTCTAGTTTAGAATAAAATATATTCATTATCACATATATGATCATTCAAAGTTTTAATTGATGTTATTATGTAGTTTTCAGCTATATGTCTACATGTTACCCTAGCATACGCCTTTAAAGTAAAAACGATTAGAAATAAACTATTTTCAAAAGGTATAATGATGGAAATCAAGGCATACCTGACTTGTATATAATTATAAAAACCATAAGCTGTGAATTTATCTGTGTTCGTTATTTTCAATTATAGGTTCATAGACCAGACATTGATGCAATCATTTCAAAGGGGAAGTGTCCAATTAACTCTTTGAATGAGATAAATGTAGGTGACGTATTTGAGCATCAGATTCTTGTAACAAATGTTCAGGTCGATGACAATGATACCAGAAGAGGCTCTATCGAATTTATTCATTTTCGCTTTCCAAGTATTTTTACTATTACAACACGAAACATAGTTAGAGAGCAGATGGTTATAGATCTTAAGCGCGACAGTTTGTATCGTGCAAACTATTATGGTGGTATATTTTCTACGGAGGAGGCAATAAGTCGGGCTAATAAGAGAATAGGAGAAAGGAAATTGAGCACTAGCAACAGATTTGAACATTTCTGCTTTTGGGCAAAAGTAAAGCCAATTACAAATAAGGCAGATAACTCCTCGTTGAAAAAGCCCAGTTCTCGTTCAATGAGTATGAAAGAAATCGAGATTCATCTTGCAGAAGAGCTACAGGAAGGAGATGTTATCTATTTCAAATCTGATGGAATTCTGGTTAATATTGAATCCTTGGATGGCGGAATTGGACGAAGGTTTCGAATTGAAAAGGTTGCTTATGATGAGTATGATTATATTGTTCGGAAAAAGCATTACAATATTGATTTAAACACAGATTTTATAAGCGTCAAGAAATACAGTTCGTCTTACTGCGTTTCTATGACAGAACGAGTTAAACGTGCTTTAAACTATGTTGGCGTCAAAGGTAAATGGTGGAGTAGGAACGAATTCATTAAATATTGCATAAAGGAATCTCGTTACGATTGATGAATAAAGTGTCCCTGGTAATGAATATATCAGTTTTGAATAAAGATTTCGTTATCAAATGGACAGTGAACATGACTATGCTGTAGAAGATGTAACAATCATTTTTTGTAAATAATTTGATAACCTCAACACTTTGATTCCCCCAGAAGTACTTCTATGTATTTCATGTACCTACTTTTGCTATAACTCATTGTTGATCATAATTTTATGATAAGTGTACAAGTGTAATGATAATTCATGTTATTTCAGGAAATATAATTACTGTATACCTTAAATCGCGGTATTACCGGACAGTGTCCAAAATTAATATTTTAACAAATAATTAAAATGTTTTCCTCTAACCTCACTGTAACTGGTATTATTTGTTCGTTATCAAGAAATAATTGTGAATTTTCAGTTACATCCAGATTTATGCCCGCAATTACTAGTTCTACGTCATAAGATAATTGAAGCACTGTTTTTATATATGTATATGAATTTACCAGACACATACAAATTCTATGTAATAAATGTATGAATGTTTCTTCTTAAAATGTTTGAAATATGTACAAAACAGTAACTGACCAACTTGATATACATTTATGTCATTGCTATGAGTGTTTGTGTTTATGTTTCACTATTATATACATGCATTAAATTTTAAATAATTTCTTTCTGTTCATTTATAGTTTGTAGTTGAAAGTGATTAACCGTCATTTTAAAGGTTAAATATTGCAGCATTGTCGTTATAACACGCCTTCTACTTTGGACATTCAATCAGGCTCATGTATATACATGTATGAATGTAATCGTAATGGCAGCAGATCCCCGTTACTCGAATTCCGTTTCGCTTGAAGTAAAATGTCCAGTCCCTTGAAATTCGAGTTGCCGAGAGTCAACTGTACTATTTTCCCTTAAGATTGGCCCAGTTGAGCGGCTGTTTAAATAGCGTTATCTTGCAGTTTAAATTTTATTAGACTGAAAATATCAGGTACCAAAAGTAAGATAATCTAGCATTATTTAGTCAATAAATACCTTAAAAATGATAAATAATAATTTTATAATTAAAATTAAACATCTTAATGATACATAAATAATGTTAAACAATAATAATAAAAGTTGACCCCCCCCCTTAAATGCAGTTGACAGAATTTGTAGCATTTTAAGGTAGTCTTACTGTAATGCTTTCCCGCCAAAAAAATTCTAACATCGGCCAATATCGTAGCAAATGGGTTATTTCCGGGAACGTTATTTTTTCAAAATCTTGGGCATTAAATTATTTACAATTACTTATCCTTTATCACTATGTACTAAATTTTGATTATAAACGGTTAAAAAATTTGAAAACCTAAAATTGTGAAAAATAACGTCCCGGAAATCACCAATTATTAACGATTTTGACCATGTAAGAAATATTTTGGCGGGAAAGCATTACATTATGACTATCTTAAACACTCTTCTTAGCGGAGGTAATACCTCTTGTGGCAGCGCAACCAAGTGGTTACAGCGTCAGACTGATATTCTTTGATAATGCTCAAAAATAAGTTTAATACACCCATGAGTGCGATCTCTCTGAAATAGGTTTTGTATCCACATAAATAAATGTTCATATATACATGTTTGTGACGTACTTTATCAGTATTTACATTTGATAAAAACTCGAAGGGAGATATTAAGTCATACATACATTGAATTCATATTGATTAAATATGAAACAAGGACAATAATTTTATCTATCAATACTTGTTATATATGCCTCTTTTGATAATTCTTTGATTATTTTATAGATACATATTGCGTCAGGCCAAACGTTTTTTACCTTTAGGTTCTCTAGAACTCTGCAGCAAACTACAGAATAATCATAATATTAAAGAAAAAGAAATAATAGTCAAGTGTTTGCGAATTTATCTGTTAAGTACTTTGGTAATCCAGGAAATAATTTGTGCAATTATTAATATATTTACAGGAGAAAATGACTTTTAAATAGTACTATAAAGTAAGGAGTCTTCCAAACATCGTATTTAATACGAGCTGTCCGTATTCAACATCAACATTTGTTTCTAAAATACAAAAGAGAAAGCCATTGACATGTTCACAATATGGTAAAATTGCATTTAACAAATAAATCTTACAATGAGAATTGTCGAACCAAAAGTTGGAAAAATAAATATGCAATTTCGATTAAAGGCGAATGCTATGGTTAGAAAATTGAAAACCATTTTATTGAATAAGCTTTGCAGTATTTTAGAATATGGCAGCAGAAACATTTTAAGCTTTAGAAAATGGAAGTCTCCGATCTCGTTTTCGAGACACAGTTATCTGCCATTTCAGATGACAGTTGTTTTTTTCTCAAGTTATTTCAAGGGCAGATAACTAATACATTAGTCTGACACACTGTTTTACAATGGGTCTATGTTTTCTCATTTTATCCGTCATTCAGTATAAGTACGGCGACTGACTATACTTTAAAAGGAAATTGGCATAGCTGTAAAAACTACTAAATACCAAGTCTTGAAAGCTTGCACACGATCACTTTCATGGAAGTCATATGCAGTAATACAGAAAAAATAAAGCTTTTAGAATTTTAAATTCAAGGACAGATAACTCGAAAAACGAGGTAGGTGAGACCAAAATCTTTGTTTCGCTTAATTTGACAAATTATTTCCGATATCATATTTAAAAGTGACATTATGTTCAACTAGGTGTAAATAGACAGTGAATAGGTAAAAAAAAAAGAAAAAACTTGGCATTCTGACATAATTGTGTTCAATTTTATAATTTACTATTTTTCATTATCAATTATTTGGTTATCACCATGAAATATACAATGTTTTGAAGAATTATATTACTAATTCAACTCACAATGACAGCACAAAAAAGAAAGATCATAATGTGACTTTAAGTTTGTGACTTACTAATCAAGTCCAAAGTACAATACAAACAATATGAGAAGACTTTGGTCTTGTTGATCTTATCATAAAAGTGTGTATATTTATCTTGGTTTAAGTTTGAACATTTATATACTTTGTTGGATTTAAAGGGCTAGGTACGTTTTGGATCGACTTTGGCCCAAAATTTTGAGGCATACATCTTACAGATTATGTGAAAGATCAATATCCTTATAATAATGATGATGATGATGATGATGATGATGATGATAATGATAATCAAACACGTGCTTACATATAAGTTCTGAACTTTTCTAAATAGGTAAATACAAAAGACCACTGAATAAAAAAATATTGTAATAGCGGTAATATTACGAATATGTGCCTCTTCGTACAAACTTTTAATAGATTTTGGTGGTTAGCCCTTTTAAACTGAAGAAGGTTCAGTGCCGAAAATTTAACTATGAACTTGTCAAAGTAATTGTGTATTTTATAAAACACCAGTAACTGAACACACTTCTTAAATAGGCTAAGTTAATTGCAAAAATAAAAGCTATTGTACATGTCTTCCTTTTCGTCTGTTTTAATATACTTCACAGTGACTAATTATTCATGTCTGCAATCGTAATTGAACGGTAGAAATGTACATCAAATGTATATTCAACTCATTTGCATTACACGATAAACAATTTAGAAAATACATATGCGTCATTATATTTTTAATTACTCGAAGCGATGCGCTCAAAATAATACGTGACGTTGATGACGTCAAACTGTAGTCTTTTGTTTTCTTGATAGATTGTTTTGATTTCTTGTAACTTTTTTGGCTAAACAGATACCTGACTCAATTTTGCTTCATTTGTTGTAAATAAAGTTTGATTTTCATATATCAAATTTTGAATATTTTTGGCTGATGGGCCAAAATCGCCCCAAAACGTACCTAGCCCTTTACAATATCTTTCAGGATTTTTATTCAACGGGGAAGTTTGAACAATATACAAATGTTTTCATACGCGTGTTCTAAATTGTATCGTTGAAATTAAGTTAAATTTGATAATTAAACCATGAATTTAAAAAGAAAAACATACCATATGTTTATTTCAGTTTTCATTAATGAAATAGTTTTTGAAAATGTGTTGCGTACAATAAATTTTAAACGAATTGCTCCGCGATTACTGTTAACACTGAAGGGGTATAATCCATTTAAAATACAAACCTGGAGTTGTCTTTATTATTATGGGTATGTATCAATATTTAATGCAGTATTCATGTTTGATTACGCAAAGTTAATGAGTATATCAAAATAGAGCAGAGACTATTTTCAGGGACCAAACAAAAATGTTATAGCTGAATAAATGTCATCATTTTTATGCATATGTATTGTTGTTGCTACACAGAAAAATATTGTATTATTAAAATATTATGATTATCAGCACTAGCGTTTTAATAAACAGACAAATGAATGTATTAAAAGTAATTGATAATTCATTAAATTTAAGAAATAAAATAGAATAAATAATTAATTAACACATACTGAGAAATCAGACAGAACAGTAATCTTTAAAACCCGCCTCTATTTCTAATGAGTTGTCTTTATTTTTTTTCAGCGTTTAAAAACTCAGAATAGTGTGAACAAAGACGTTATTTATATTATGTTCACCTGATACTTTGTCCTGTCAAAAGAAAAGTATAAGTGCTACCTTTTGGTCTGATAAGGCATGACTTCTATAAACAGGCTACTAAGAGGTTGCAAACAAACAACTAAGTGGTTCGGATGATGTAAGTGATTTTTTTTGTGATACTGAATTTGCTTTACGTTTTGGTTATGTGGTGAAAATATTTGTTAAAAAGCTTATGATTATAGTTTTAAATAACATTTAAGTTATTTCTGTAAAAATAAACAGCGTTTACTCGGCTTGACCAAACAAATAGTCTTCATCCAGGATCATTCAATACACATGTATTCTATTCTAATAGTAAGGTATCCTGTCCTCTATATGTTCTTTTCTGAAATAATTAAGTATTTCAATTTTGTTGTTGTAATTTGTATGCATAGTTTTCAGGGTTTTTTCTTTTTTGTATGTTCATGTGTTTTATTTAAAGTTAAACGGTCATCTAGTATGCTTTATCCTTTACTTTGTTTCTTTTCCCTCTAGATTTCTATGGTGAGGTGTAAATTGTGTCAAAATGAAACAATGGTAAGCAATAACACATATATATTTCAACATTTGTTTTCCTATACCATCTAAGACAAAGATAGTGTCGGTGACGTAAAACCCAAAAACAAACAAATAAGAAAACGATAGAAAAACTTAAGATTTAGTGTTGTTTACTATATGACGATAATGCAGTAGCTAGTAAAGTAGTCCGGTATATTTAAATAAATACGATGGCACAGAGGTGATATATGCACTGCCTTATATATATATATCTCGTGAAAACAAGGTAATAACTAACAGTGTCTTGGTAACGAGATTGTCTCTGTTTTGTGGGAACGAATGATAATTTGTCGTTGGAACGAGATATTATACCTTGGCCACATTGGCCTCGAAATAAACAAGAAGGTAGACATGTCACTTTTGTGTCACCGTAGAAATAATCCCGGTTTCCCAGTTAAATGCTATAAATAGATGCTGTTCTAAAAGAAAAGATTTTTGTTTCTACAATAAATGAGTATGGTATATAATGCTAATAGTTTTGACGAATTAATATTACTATTTTAACTCCTGATTAAATTTAGAACGCTCTTATTACCTTACATCAATGCACGTGGAAAATAAAAGAAAATAAGAGGCACCCAGTGGGGGGAGCAAATACTTACGTAACATATGCAAGACGTTAACTGATGATACTAATAAGTATGCTTTCAGCTTCGTCAATATGTATTCCATACAATCGTAACATAAAAATGAATAAGCATGAACAAAAGTTTTTTT